TTAAGGCATCTGGGTACGTGATTTTACAGTACTATTCAACAAATTGTTATTACGTTCCCTATATGTGGTCAAGGATTTCTAGTTATCTGTCCACGACATATCAATTCTCACTCTTGACCATCTCTGTTGCGCATGACTGATTTCGCGAATAGCTCTGGGGAACTCGGGAAAATAGTCTGTCCTGATTAGTTTCCTTTGAAACAGTGAAAGCACTTCATTACTCAGGCAGTCTTGTTTTGAAATTAAACACTTAGTTAAAATAAATGGACTGGATTTAGGACAAACTCAACTCTTATTCCACTTGTTCATGGCAGTGCCAAAATTTTAGAATTTCGTGTCAAAACACTGAGGCACGAGAAAATGTCCACGAATTTTACTGAAAACATTTTTGATAATTTAATTACATTTGTGAACATAGACTCATAATGTAGATAAAAGTGGTTGAACAACACACGTTAGTCCCACAGAGAGTCCATTGTAAATCCAGCAGCACTTATTTCGTTTTGAGCAACGCATGCGCTGTATGGCCATCATAGCCAGAATCTGGCTACGCTTGCTAATTCGTGTCTTGTATAGCCCAGAAAGTGAAGGTCCGGGATCGCAAATGGTCAATTCTGTAAACAGCTTCTGATTTTAGGTATGTCTGCCTACCGCCCCCTTGGATAACTGACAGGTGATATTCAAATGCTATTCCGCTGGACAATTGTTAAATGCTTTGCCCGTTTTCACAAGAGGCTTTATGTTGGCTCATATGAAGTCTAACAACGTTGTTAGCGTAAAGAACAGTGGAGTCTGATGTGCTTTATTTAGGATGTACACGCTTTCACTGTGGGGTCACAGGTAACTTGCCATCGTCTCGAGATACTCGACTTATTTCTATCAAGCACACTGTAAGTACATGTACAAACACTGCGCGGCTGTTCAAACCTAAGTGTCGTGCTTCAAGCTTACATTCATGTAAGTCCATTAATTGACCACAAATTTGAAGATAAAGTTGGTTTTAGCACACGAGAACAGTTGATACGTTTGGCGCGTATTCATAAGATTTACATAAATTTAGTTCGTCAACGTGCATTTGGAATAAAAATGTTGAGGATATAAACTTCATTGCATTATTCACTGCTTGACTGTTAATACTAGTTTTTATTGGGTTGGTCTTGTGATCATGTGTAGCTGTCAAATAGTCAAGGTCAGCCCACACATATATTTCCTCGTTCTCAGTTAATGTTTGCTGATTTGTCCAGGCTCTACTTTAGCTTTTAATTACCAAGCATTCTCACGATAGACATGTTCTTGTCAGTCTCACTCATGACCTAACTTGACACTTCCACTTTAAACTGTTATGCTATAGCTTGAATTCGTTAAAGAGTTAATGGTATCTTTCCAATCGTCATAAGTGGTTTATCATAATGCATTTGTCTTCGTAC